CGCCCCACCCGCCCCCCGGTGGCCGCTAGGCGTCCAGCGGCTGATTTGAGCGTAGCAGCACGGGACGGGGAATCAGGAGAGAACAAATAAAAATCAAAATAAAATAAAGGGCAAGCAAGCGTGGGGGAAAACGCCGAGAAATGAGAAGGGATGGACATGATGTACGATATGGGGGCGTTCACTAGACGGGCACGCGGCACCCGGCGCAGGAGGCGGCCGGCTGGGCTTTGGCTCACTCGGGTGGCTGGCCGCGCGTCGGCTTGGCTCGCCCGACCAACGCGTTACACGGCGGCCTGGAAAAAAAAACCTGAAAGAAAACAGAAAAAGAAAACAGATGAAAAAAAAAAAAGAACTGAAGCGGGGCGTGTGACGAAGAGCGACAGAGATAGAGAGGTGGGCGGACAGAGATGGAGGAGGCGGCAGCGGCTGGGCATGGCAGGGACCAGTGGTCGCGGGGCGCTGTGGGGCGGCGGGGGTTGACGAGGCAGGGGAGGGCTCTGCGGCCACGGAGCAGGTTTGGCTAATTCCGTCCTAATCGACTGGAGGAGACAGCCGCAGAGATAAGTGGATAGATAATCAGCATTTCAGCTCCGGCGTCTTTTATCTCTCCCCGTGCCTCGCCTTGGCTCCCCTCCCACCCACTCTGCCCCTCTTCGCCCTATCTCTCTCTCCCTCTCTCCCTCCTTTCTCTCTCTCCTCTCTCTCCCTCTCTCCCTTCCCACCCCCTATCTCTCTCTCTCGCTTTACCACCCGCGGTTATAGACAGCCATCGTTTGCCCGTTTTACGAGTCGAGAGTGACTGATGCCCATCATTGGGGCGAGAGGTGCGGCGTTACACTGGCCAGCCCGCCACGCCACGCCACGCAGCCTCATCGCTCTGGTGTGGACCGCGGCCGTCCTTGTGGATGACACACACCACTTGTCCCCCTCCCCCCCCCCCCTCTCTCCTCCGCCAGCCTCTCGTCGCAACGATACGGCTAACGCTACGCGCCCAGCGGTAAAGACGCGCGTTCGAACGAA